TCTTTTTTCACGGTAAATAGAATCATACACTTCTCGTCGAGTAAAGCCTAAATTTCTCCCCCTTTGGCTAGATTTTTCATGAAAATCAAAGACTTTAGTGACAGAAATTCCAGATTGCACCATTGTGTTAAATAACACTGTTTGCTCATCAGTTAATTTGCGAGTTGACCGCAATAAATATGTCTCATCAGGGGCATACAATTCATGATTATGTTCAATCTTGAATGTGGCTATCCTCCACGACTCTCCTTCACTTCGAGATATTTTTAATTTTGCACTACAACCACATCTAGCTGTTGTTTTTTGATACTCTGGAATCTTTTTAGTAGAACGTTTCTCATCCTTAAAACCTTCACAAGAACAAAAAAATAATTTTCCTATTAAGAAGTCATGTTTTCTATTCCACAAATTTTTCCCTTTTCTCACACTGAAACCTTTTGCACGCCCATATTCACAATATAAAGCATATGCAGTGTGTTCATCTTCCACAATTTCACCAAGTGCAAGTCTATTTTCCAATTCTTCTAGAGTTAAGTTTAAGGACTCTATCTTCTTGGCAGCTACAATTTCATCATCACTAATATTTGCCACTTCATCTTCATTCATACTATTCAAATCTAATAAAAAAAAAGGACATTGGGTTATAAAGAATTCAAAATCATAATCTATTTCAATGAAATAAGAAAATATAACAATTCTGTTTATCCATGAGACAAAATAACTTATTTTTAAAACAAAAATTTATTTTATCTCATTACTAACCGTAGACATAATACCAAATATTAGAGCATAATCTAAATAATCAAATTATTTTATGAACAATCAAAATGGATAATAAGGCCTTACCCATCTTCTCCTCCTCTTTCTTTTTAAACTCACTGTGGCAGCTCAATTTCTAAACTTTGAAATAAAACTGCACAAAAAAAAACAGAAAAAAAAGAGCTTAAGAGCCAAAAAAAAAAATAATACATAGAGTAAAAAATAGTTTGTCACGTTGGAGAGACTCACCGATAGTGTCGAGGTGGTGACAACAGCGAAGAAGCGAAAGAGATGACCCACTGTGAGAGACTGCTGTGAGAGGGGGAGGGTATGAGTAGCAGGCAAGCATTGTAGGGAAATGGCCGGCGAGGAAAAAAAAAGAGCATAATAGCAACAAAAAAAAAAAAAAAACATAGAGCAGAAAATAATTTGTCACGTTGGAGAGACTCACCAATGGTGTCGAGGTGGTGACAAGCATTCTGCGGGAAATGGCCGGCGAGCAAGCGGTGTGAGAAAATGACCGGCTTGCAGGGCTTGCAAAAACATTAATGTTTGTTTCATGTCGTAGGTTGCTGGTTTCATGTTGCAGGTTGCAAGACAGAGAAAAAAGCAAGTGCAAAAGCTGATTTTGTGTAAGACAAAAGTCAACCTAAGATAAAAAAATATGAAAAAGAAGAATGAGTAAAGAAAGGTGGCTCGTGGAATAACAAAATGGCAAGCCACGCCTTTTTTATTCTTTGCTTCTGAAAGTACATGTAGTTGACCGAGGAAGAGTGGTAATTTTAACCATGGTTGGTGGGTGTGTAAAAGGAAAAAGAAAAACAAAAAGTAACTACCATGTGTCAATTTGTTATTGGATAAAAATTTATAAAATTTAAAAAAATAAAAAGTAAAAAAAATATACGTGTCAGCAAGCTAGGGCGCTGCCCCACTGGGGCAGCCCCTAGCATCAAACAAACCAGTGAACAAAGACGTGCATGGGAAATGTTGTGGGTTTATTCAACGTGCTTTTAATGTGTTGTGTTTATTCAACGTGCTTCCTAATTCGAAGGGAAACAATCAAAGCCATATCATGCTCAATATATTATTCCAATTTTCTAAATATATAATTTATTAATTTACTGTATGGGGTTGGACTTCTTTGTAGAGAAAAAGAAATTAATATTTTTATATTAAAATTTTTACATATTTAATGCATTAAATTTGATTTACTGTCACTTCGTTTTCTTAATCACCAAAATGAAATAATTTTTTACAAGCTGACAAAAGGGCACAGGGACAAAAACACAATCTATTTGATCCATTTAGTGTTAAGTACTGTTCTCAGTGGGACAGCACGCAGCATACTAATAAAAATTAATCATATGTGCAGATCAAAAAATAATAATTTTTATTTTATATTTAATCACATAAAGAAAAATTTTATAGATATAATATCAAATATTAAATTATTTTATAAATAATTAATATATTTTTTTATTTTTTATTTTTTTAAAATAAAAAATATAAAAATTAATATTTTTAGTCTACACACATGACTAATTTTTATTGATCTACTGGGTACTTCCCTGTCAAGATAGTACCTAGTATCAAATACACGAAAAAAAAACACGGGAAAAAGCCAAAATAGATAGAAATTCCCTGCGGGCAATACCAAGTTTAGGAACTACGTAGCTGTAATTAATTTCGCGTCCTCCAAAACAAAAACTAAATTGCACTTAGGCCCCTCGATTAATCAGGTTCAACGGATTGAACCCCCAAACTTGATTGTCACGGTACAATTTGGACCTACAATGCTTAATTTATGAGTTTATTATTGGTAAATTAGAATTGGGATTACAGGGACTTCTCGCTAAATTAATATTTTTATGTAAATATTTTATGATTAATTTGATATATTTTTATTTTTGAAGTAAAAAATTAATAAAGATAAAAAAATGAGACAGGACAATAGTTCGAATTCCGTTCTTTAAATGCAAAATACCCTCTCCCTCTCTCTCTCTCTCTCTCTCTCTCTCGTTTAGATTTCACGTCTTCTGAAAAACCTGAATTCGTTGTTTGGTTGGTCTGTTACCGGTTATCCATTTGACTTTGGTTGCTGTTAATCCACAAACTCCTTCCTCCTCCCCTAATATTCACGCCAGATACAGTTATAAAGACACACATTCACACCATTTTTGTAGTCTCTCTATCTAGACTTGTCTCTTCCAAAATCAGAGAGGAGAATGGAAAAATCCGGCTATGCCGAGACGGCCTATACAGATCTCTCAGGCCTCCTCTTGTCTTCCCCAAAGACCCTCACCTCTCCATGGTTTCTTTCCTCTTCCGTAACTCCTCCTCCTACGCCGACAAGCCCGCTCTCATCGACGCCGACTCCGGCGAATCCCTAACATTCGGCCAGCTCAAATCCATGGTCGCCAAGGTCTCTCACGGACTGCTCCGCCTGGGTATCAGTAAAAACGACGTCGTCCTCATCCTCTCCCCGAACTCCATCCAATTTCCCCTTTGCTTCTTCGGGATCATCGCCGCAGGCGCCATTGCAACCACCGCGAACCCTGCTTACACAGTCTCGGAGCTCTCCAAACAGATTACTGATTGCAAGCCCAAGCTCATCATCACTGTTCCCGAATTATGGGAAAAAGTCAAAAGTTTCGGTATAAAAGCGCTTATTCTGTCTTCTGAGGAGCCGGTCCCGGGTGCTACTCTGTTTTCCGAGTTCGTTAGGAAAAGCGGATCAGTTTCAAACTTACCCGAGGTCTCAATCCGGACGAGCGATACCGTGGCCCTGCTATACTCATCGGGACGACCGGGACGAGCAAGGTGTTGGATAATATCAATTTTAAATTTTCAATAATTTTACAAATTTTCTTTGTTTTTCTGATTAAATTTTATTGCATTATCTTAACTAGTCTGCCTTGTTCAGTTAATTTCATCTTTTGAATTTTCTCTGACACAAGGGAGTGGTGCTGAGCCACGGGAATTTTGTGGCGGCGGCGCTGATGGTGACGGCCGACCAGGAAGTCGCCGGCGAGAAGGACAATGTTTACTTGTGTTTTTTGCCAATGTTTCACGTCTTTGGGCTAGCGGTTATAACGTACGCGAGGCTGCAGAGGGGAGACGCCATTGTTTCAATGGGAAAGTTCGAGGTGGAGAGGTTACTGCGGTGGGTGGAGAGGTACAGGGTATCGCATCTGTGGCTAGTGCCGCGGTGATGCTGGCTCTGGCTAAGAGCAGTGTGGTGAAGAAGTATGATACGACGTCGTTAAGGGAGGTTGGGTCTGGTGCGGCTCCTTTAGGGAAGGAACTCATGTCGGAGTTTGCCAAGAAATTCCCTAAGGCCGTGGTGATTCAGGTAATCCATCCTTAGGCTGCTTTTAACTTTCTCAGTTAAAAAATGATTTTGTGATTTTTTTCAGATAAAATTAAGGAGGTTGGAATTTTTGGTTTGGGTTTTTACCAACGTTTTGAGATTGACAGAGAAATTTAAAAAATAAAAAGTAAAAAAGCTAAATTCCAGAATATAAGGAAATTAATTGCTAATTTAGCTAAAAGTCTGAATGGATAAGAAGTAAAAAAAAAAGTAAAAAAGCTAATTTCCAGAATATAAGGAAATTAATTGCTAATTTAGGTAAAATCTGAATGGATAAGAAGTGCCGAAATTAAAGGATATGACACCTGGCAGGGATCCCACCAAGCAAACCCCCCCCCCCCCCCAAAAAAAAAGAATAAATTATTTATGGCAATATTTTCTAATTTAAAGTTTTTTTATTTGTCCATGTTTAATTTTTGGATTAAAATTAAATTTTCTCAATGGTAAAAATATCTTAGATGATAGATTAAATTGATTATTTATTAATCAAGTAAGTGCTACACAGCATAATAAATAAAAATTATTATTTTTGTTACCTTATTTTACAATTTATAAATAACACAAATGAGAGAACAATTTATAAATAAATACTCGATTAATTATAAATAACTAACTAAAATCAAAAGTACTATATTTTATTTTATGTGCACAATAGAAATAAGTAATTATAGATTTACGATAAAATTATATAATTAATGTAATTAAATTTTTTATTGATTTAAAAAGTTTTTACTTTTAAAATGTCAATTGCCACTGTATAACTTAATTAAGATTCAAAAATAACTTTGCTGATAAAAGTAAGAGAATTGCCTTCATTTTTTTTTTTAAATAAAGGAAGTTCGTTTCAAGTTTTATCATTTGGTCCGTTTCAATGATTGTCAGATCATTTAGACATTTACTTTTTCATAAATTTTTCAATTTGTTTTCACTGTAAAATCAAATTCAATTTTTTTTAAAAAAAAAATTGACTACTGGTTTTCCATTTTCTTCATGTCCAAATCACTTCTAATATGGAAAGAAGAATTTTGGTGACAGGGTTATGGTATGACAGAAACATGTGGCATAATTTCAGTAGAGAATGGGAGAGTAGGCGCTCGACACTCGGGGTCTGTGGGATGGCTGGCTCCTGGAGTGGAATCCCAAATAGTTGGAGTAGATACTGTCAAGCCTCATCCCCCGAATCAACTAGGGGAAATATGGGTTAGGGGACCTAACATGATGCAAGGTACAACCTCCCTTCCTTCAAATTCCCATCTTTTATTTCTTAAATTTTCTTTTTTAGAGTTTTAGGAGTTTCGAGCTAGGATAAGGGTTTAGGGGTGATGGATTTGGGATAAGAAGTCATGGGTTTGGCCATTTCTACTAAGAAATCGATTATTGAAGAACTAATTTATCTCATAACTGATTTCTCAGTATGTCAAGTAATTAACTTATTTTAATTTTGCAAAAACTTATTTTTGTAAATAATAAAAGAAATAATATTAATATGAATTTAACCAAATAATAGTTGTTATGAAACAATATTTTTCACAGGAAAATATAGACCTTTATGCTTAGTTGTTGGCTTATGAATTTATCTTGCTATATGTAAAGAATTGCTTCGAGCACTAGATGTATGATAGGTGATGGGGGAGTATCATATGGTATGCATTTTCTATTCAGGATTGAATGAGATGAGAGAAGATAGGACAGAAGAAAAAGATAGAGAAGAAATTTGCATAGAAGATAAATACGCCGATAACGGGTAGAAATTAACAGACATCCACCAAGCAACGGGAGACTACTGGAAACTTTCAAGTTGATAATACTCATATTATATGGTAATGATTTAAGCCCTGATATTTTATTAGGATCAAAGATGTAAGACAGAAAAGTAGAAGGAAAAAAGTTGATTTGATTTGATATGTCCAATTTGTCTCCTAGTAAAGACCAAGAACAACCTAATAATTCTGATTTAGGAATTGCTTTCATTAGTATACAACACTATTAATTCATTGATTTACATATCAGAATAGGTTCACATGATGACAATACCAATACCCTGACAATTGGGACTATCAACCTATAAGTAGGATATATGATACTTAAGTTTCTCAAAGGGCATTCTCAAATTGACAGAAAAAGGAAACAAGAAAATTTTCTGAGTCTTCTTTCTTTACCATTTTGTTTTAGCCTAACCCTCATCTGTGGTAGGAATATTTAAGAAAGATAACCCGTTCAGTGAGATCCTGCGAGAGAAGTTCTCTTTTCTTTAAGCTTATCATCAAGGTTAGGTGCTTCATGCGTTATGCATGCGTGATCTGAGCAGTTGATTTCTTCTCAAGAATTATAAGTGGATAAGAATCTTGTGAAACTTAGAACACCTTTCTTTTCAACAAATTGTGTGTGACTGCTGTTAATTTGTTAATATGCCGAAGGCATTTGCTTGTTTCCTTTACGAGTTTAGTGAGGTTTAATGCAGTTTTTGAATTTATTTTCAGGCTATTTTAATAAACCAGAGGCTACCAAACTCACCATAGATAAGCAGGGCTGGGTGCATACAGGCGATCTGGGATATTTTGACGAGGAAGGACAACTCTATGTTGTAGACAGAATCAAGGAGCTCATCAAATACAAAGGGTTTCAGGTAATCATATCATGAGTCATAGATCATACTTCTAATTGTTATATTTACCCATGATGTCTACCGTGCACGTTGACGCACCAGGCATCTTGCTTATCCTATAACAAAAGTTGGTTTCTTTTATTTTTCTTCTTCGGATCATTTCTAGTAACATCTTGTTTAGTTGGCATGAGTGATTTTCACCTGAGCAGGACTGTTTTTCTTGTATGAAACAAGTTGTGTTCCAAAAATCATATGGTATCTGAATTAAAATAACATGGTGCGGCAATTTCTTCTAATTCCATATTTTTCTAGGCAAAATCATCTTGCTACAACTGTTAGTGTGACATTTGTAATTACATTCAAGCACCATGTTGATGATTACTGCCAGAAATGCAGTATGCTATTTCAACATCCATTTTGTACTTGTGAACAATCTCATTTTCCAATTAAGCATCCGTTTTAGATCCATGCTAGCTATGTTTACTGGATTCGGTCTGCCAAGTGCAACATCATTCTGTTAAACTTTATTTTATTTTTATTTTATTTTTTTTTTGGGGGGGGGGGAGGAGGGGGTTTCAAGTTTTGCCTCCCTGAAACTTCTAATGCCAGGTCAATGAACACGAACGCATTTACAGTCGGTATAAATAGTAATTCAAGCATGATCTTCTCTCTAATCTTTGTGAAGGCAACTTTATAACTGTTGAAATATGCTTTCTTTTCTTTCTTTTCTTTTTGTTGGGGTAGCATGCAATTTATGCATCATCTATAGCATCTGCCTATCTTAAAATTTTATGAACGTGACAATTAATATTTTTTATTAATTGTTTTCATTCTTCAAATTTTACTAGGTTGCACCCGCTGAACTTGAAGGCCTCCTTATTTCTCACCCAGAAATATTAGATGCTGTAGTTATTCCGTAAGTAATGCATGCAAAATTACTGCCACTTAATGTCAATCAAAAGAAACTTATTTACTTCCATCTAGTAAACATCGTGTTGATAGCTAAGGCACTTCTTCCATGTAGCTTCCTGATACTGAAGCAGGTGAAGTCCCAGTTGCTTATGTTGTTCGCTCACCTAACAGTTCGCTGACAGAACAAGAAGTGCAAAATTTTATAGCGAGCCAGGTGAGATGATAGAGATTAGTTGGCCAATACCAAATCCCTGGCTAACTTTTTCTAGTGGTCTATAGGGAGCCTCTTCGGGGGATTTGCCAAAAACAGAACTATTAGGTGATTGCAAAACAGCAATCAATTTCTTCAGAGTTCTTAATCAGCTTCCACTGTGAAGGTTTCCATCAACTAAGAAATGGGTGATGTCATTCCTTAGTACTACTTAGCTGGTACATATTTGAGTTTCACGCTTCATCATTTACAAGGATACCAATTTCCAAGTGTTCCTAGTTCTTCACATTGTTTACCGTCATTTTGATTCTTAACATAGAGGGAACTTGAGAGGTTGTTTTGGCGTCCAAACAATCAACAACCTCGTACTACTATGGGGTCTTTGTTTTCCACCTGTTTCTTTTTGTTTACAACTTCTATGAGGAAATGAATTGAATCTGCTATTTTTTTGTGGGAAGATGCCAAGTTGTAATCAAGATCTATAATGTTTTCAGGTTTCACATTTTAAGAGGTTGAAGAGGGTAACGTTTATAGACAGTGTTCCAAAATCAGCTTCAGGGAAAATCCTCAGAAGAATGCTCATCGAAAAAGTCCAATCAAAGCTATGATGTTCAAAGGATCAATATACCTGGACACCCCTTCATGTGAATATGAAGATGGAAATCAAGTTTGCTTTCAAGTTGGAGGCGCTATTCGAACAAAGATTAGATCATCAGACGTACATGTAATTCTTCAATAAATGCTTTATATATACAGAATTTGTGAAACACTATTTCAAGGTATATACATACATAATGAATCATTGATCTTTTGTTAAAACGGTGAACTGTGAATTGTTTGGAGCAAAATGTTTCTTCATAGCTCAAATTTGAAATGTGGAAAGGGGTTCAATCATGGATTAATCTAGCTAATCAGCTATTCCATTTTGTTTGGCTTACGTTCTCTCTTTGGATTGCATTTCATTCTCTGTGGTCTTCTCCTGACTTCTCTGTTATCTTCTGGTGCTCCTTGGAACGAATTTCCCTTTTTAAACGCAGAAAAAGGTAATTTTGACATCATAATTGAACAAGATAGGGCGTTAGGCTTTAAGAAACATAGCTATACATATACATGTGTAACATGTTGTAAAAGGAAGTAGTTAAGTAGAACGTTGACAGGCATTGCATGCAAAACTTGCTATGACTTTGCCATATGGTACTACTTTTTAAACTAATAACAATGTATAAGTATAAATAATGTGTACGATTAAATCATTAAGTGAGACTTCTAATAGCTTCATTACAGGAGCATTTGACTAAACTACCTTTCATCTCTCCTTTAAGTCTATCCCCTAATTACTACACTAATTCTGTCACACTTCGTTAATCTCTTGCCTGTGTCCTTCCCCATGAATTATGCGTCTCACTCTATCAATCTATTCCCTATTTCACATCCCCCGTCCATTTATTCTTACTTTTAAGCATAGCAATCGGACCCAAATCTAATAGTTATTCGAGAAAATTACTCAGATGGGTTCGAGTTTAAATATTACTAAATAGATTTAGATTCGGATTTGGATAATTAAATGGGTATTTAAGTGGCTTTAAGTTTAGGTTTGGTTATTATAGTGCCCATCCCATCTTAAACTGCATACTATTATATAATTATCCATTGTAATTTTAAATTTTTTTATATTGTAATTTATAATATTTGATATTTGAAAGACTAATAAATAGTGTTAAATTTTTTATTTTTAATAATTTTTTGATATTATTTTACTTATATTAGATATTTATAATTTTGAATTTTAAAATTATTTATAAAAGATTATAAGTTTGGATCCATAAGTTCAAGCTTTGATAAATAGTATTAATGGAGTCAGATATGAGAATTTAATTACATATTTGCATGGGTTTAAGTCTATTTTTTAGTGTTAGGTTTAGATTTAAATATCAAAGAACCTATTTCATTACCGTCTCTATCTTACATGCCCCAATTAAATATTCACTTTTCAATATAAAATTTCTGAAACCAAAAAATTTTTTACACCAGAATTTCCAATTGAATCTTCATTTTATTAATCTTTTCCACCAAAATCTTCACAAACTAAAATTTTTAGAACTTTCCAATATGAAATTTTACTAGAGCCAAAAATTTCAAGTCGAAAGTTTCGGTCCCCTTATATTAGAATGACCAATTATAATACCAAACGAGGCCTAAGGTTGATCATAATTCTTAATTTTTATAGCACTGTAACAGTAATTGGGTACATACTTGTTAAAAACGGTTATAGTTACAAATAAAGTCGAAATTTTATTTTTTGTGACCAAACTTTATAAAATACAAAACTCCGCACTGAATCGCCGACCATTTTAATTCGGTACTGCTAACATAAAATTAAAAAAATAAAAAGCGAACAGAAAACGACGCCCCTAGGAAAACAGGGGAAGAGTCTATCGTTGTTTTGTCCACTGTCACATAGGCCGAGGAATCGGATTAACATGCCGTAGAGTGAAGCTTCGGGTTGGCTCGGCCACCGCCTTTGTACAACAACGCGGCTACATGCTAATCCATCATACGCAATGCACATCCATAAAAACACGCATCCCGCATATACAACATCACATCCACATGTATATATGCATCTTCCCACTTTCTCCGCACCCACCCACCATCCCTCCCTTCTCTCTCCTATAAATATACTCCTCAACTCTTCAGTCACATCTCTCACTACTCAACCTACCACTCGAACCCGCTCGTAAGTCACAATGGGAAAGGTGAATTGCTATTTCTGCTTCTGCTCCTTCCCTTTTTCTTCTGTCTTCTTCCTTTCTTAGACTGTGGTATGAAAATTTGATTGCAGAAGAAGAACAAGAACCAAGGCGAGAAGAATAACGACCAGCCGCAGCAGCAGCCGCAGCAACAGAAGGGCGATAGCGGCGGTGATGGAGGGGAGAAGGCCGGCGACGGCGAGCAAGTTTTGGTTTTGAAGGTCGACTTCCACTGCGAGGGATGCGCTACCAAGACTAAGAAATCCATCCGAGCCCTGGAAGGTAGCTTTACTTCTTTGATTTCCTCGTTGTTTCTTTCTATTTTTTGAAATTTTGGTTCTGTATGCCTCTTGCTTTTCGATTTTTCGCTTTGCCCATCCTATGTTTTACGTATACACTTTTTATCTGTCGGATTCAACGGTTTCCCAACAACGTGCTCCCACTTATGGCGATATCTTTAATTTATCCTTAAATTTGTCTCTCAGAAGGGGGAAAAAACGAAATCGATTTTTCCTTTCGTTTCAATTTTTGGCATGCATTTATCGTGATGGTTGTATGTGCGTGCGAAGGTGTTGAATCGTGAAAGTAGGCAGCGGCAAGTTGAGGGTTACCGGAGACGTAGATCCGGAGAAGCTCCGGGTAATCGTGGAGCAGAAAGCCCAGGGGAAGGTCGAGTTCATCTCTCCATTGCCCAGAAAGGACAACAGTAAGAAGGAGAAAGATGGTGGAGGAAAAGCACAGAAGAAGAGCGGAGATAAAGCAGAGAAAAAGCCAGATGACAAGAAATCCAAAGAGAAAGAGGTACTTTCTGCTCTCTGCTAATGTGCGCCGGTGTCCATCTGCTCTTTCGCTCTGAATTCTGGTGTATTGTCCTTTTCGTTTGCGCATGTTGTGCACGTTAGATAGTACTCGCATTAAGAGCTTCGTTCAAATCATTTTTCTATTGAAAATTGTGAAGCCGCTGCGTTTTACGCGGCCAATCACGTGAAGGCGCAGTTTAGCCGCTTAACTGCTATAATTTTGAAATAGCGAGAGTTGGTTTGGATATACCGAAGATTTAATTTTGCAAATTCAGGGGTTAAAGAGTTTTTTCTGCGTGACGTGCCGTTTGAAATAGGCGGCGCATTTTAGCTGACCTTAAAAGTAGAAACGATTGAGTTTTCAATAATCCTTGATTAAGAAACTGATTAAGTTAATCAATTAATAAATTTCGTTTTAATTTCCTTAGAATCCGGTGACGACGGCGATGATGAAGGTGGATCTGCATTGCGATGGATGCGTCCAGAAGATACGCAAAACTGTCGCCAAGACCAAAGGTGAGATTACCATTCCCCACTTTCCGTACAAAACAGTTGGATAAAGGTAAGATATCGAGTGCCTGATGGAATGTCAACGGCGTTACAGGTTTCCAAGACATATCCATCGACCCAAAGAAGAATCTGGTAACTGTGAAAGGGACGATGGATATGAAGGCCTGGCGGAGACACTGAAGGAGAAGCTCAAGAAACCGGTGGAGCTTGTTCCAGCAAAGAAAGATAAAGATGCAGGCGAGAAGAAAGAGAAAGGCGGAGGTGGCGAGAAGGTGGAGGCCATAGCCATTGATGAAGGGGAGCTGGGGGTGCAATGGCGGAAGAAAACAGGATGCAATTTGTGCAGTACGGGTATCCGGGTCCGTATGCCCACGGATACATGATGGGTTACCCGAATCCTATGGGGCATTTCCCTGTGGCGCAATACCCTATGGCGCAATACCCTGTGGGGCCGTACCAGTTCCCTGCTCCGCAAATGTTCAGCGACGAGAACCCAAATGCCTGCTGTGTTATGTAATGGTGAAGCAAAACAGAGGACAGCGATTAGATGTAAATGTTTTTGTCTGAGATGGTATGTAATGGTTGGGGTTAATTTAAGCAAGTTTATAGACTTAGTTGCTTCAATACCTAGTCGGTATGTAGCTGAATTGGTTAGGATCTTCTTGACGCTGGTATGGGCCGTGGGAATTCATTCTCCTTACCACTTTCTTGTCGAATTTTGCGTTTACATTTTCGGGTCATTTGATATTATCGTGTTCAAAATGTCCTTGTAGGATCGCACAAATCCAGTAGGCTAGGGGGAGATGGGGAATGGAGGTCGCAATCAGAATATTTTTGGAGATATCTCGTTCATGGTGGTAGACACAGCGAAGTCAAGTTTATCGTTTGCAATTTCTACGTTTGGACAAAGGGGTGAGAAAATTTGGGCCCCGTGTTCTACTTTTTCTGGAAA